GGTCTTGCAAAACTTTAAAAGAGCAAGTCGCTAAACTTGAGAGCACGGTCAAGAAATTTAATACTCCTCACAAAGACTTAAATTTACTTCTTGACACTATGCATTTTTCTAAGGAAGGAATAGGTTTTGATAAAAATAAAGCTAAAGATAATGTTGAGCCACCACCTAGACAATCATCTAAGGTTCAACATAAGAAACCTAAAAATGAAGATAATAGAAAACCTAGTCAACCGAAGGACACTAGACAACCTAGACTAAAACCTAGGAATGAAAATGGTCATAGTAGACAACCTAAGAAAAATGATTTTGTGCATAAAAATGAATTTTCTCAAATAAGAAGAAATAATGCTAGAGCACCTAGAAGAGGCCAATTTCAAAATTTCCAAAAACCATCATTTTCACAAAATAGGAACAAAATGGTTAAACCTTCTAACTATTATGAACCTAGGCACATGTACAACCCCAATGTAGTTTGCCATTATAGTAATAGGATAGGCCATATTGCTCCCGTTTGTTACACTAGGCATAGGCACCTATCACAAAATCAAGCACACTACCATTACACACCTAACACCCGAGGACCCAACATAAATTGGGTACCTAAAACTCATTGATGTGTTTCATAGGTATGCTTGAAGGCATCAAGTGTACTTTGGTACCTTGATAGTGGATGCTCCAAACACATGACCGGGGATGCATCCAAGTTTCTCCAAATCAAACCCGCTAAAGGAGGAAACGTAGTTTTTGGAGACAATAGCAAGGGAAAAATTATCGGCGTTGGTTCAGTAGGTAAATCTGAAAACTCCTCTATAGATAATGTCTTGCTTGTTAAAGGTCTCAAAAACAATCTCTTGAGCATAAGTCAATTATGTGACAAGGGAAACCGTGTGACTTTCGATTCAAAATCATGCACGGTAGAACGCCTTAGTGACAATAAGGTCATTCTACGTGGTGATAGAATCGATAACATTTATATGGTTAACTTACACAAATCTCCTTCCGACTTTGCTAAGTGCCTCATGAGTAAAGAGGAAGACACTTGGTTATGGCACCGAAGGGTAGCTCATATGAACATGAACCTTTTGAACAAATTGGTTTCACAAGACTTAGTAATTGGCATTCCAAAACTTAAGTTTGAAAAAGACGCCATATGTGATGCATGTCAAAAGGGGAAGCAAGTTCGGGCTTCGTTTAAGTCTAAGAACGTTGTTTCAACGTCTAGACCGCTTCAACTTTTGCACATGGATCTTTTTGGTCCTTCTAGAACGAAAAGTTTTGGTGGCAATTACTTTGCGTTTGTGATTGTCGATGACTACTCTAGGTTTACATGGACCTTGTTTCTTACTCATAAAAGTGAAGCATTTCATGTTTTCAAAAATTTTCTAAAGAAAGTTCAAAATGAAAAAGAAACAACCATAGTAGCCATAAGAAGCGACCATGGGGGAGAGTTCGAACGAAATCTGTTTTCAGATTTGTGTGACGAACTTGGCATTGATCATAACTTCTCAGCCCCACGTACACCACAACAAAATGGAGTGGTGGAACGTAAAAATAGATG